CCGTCTATAATAACCAATACCCACCGTCTATAATAACCAATACCCACTGTGTGCCCACTCCAGGCCTGTTTTATAGCAGAAGCTGATATGAAACGCACTGTGGCTGCTCGATGTTACTCGCAATGAAGTTTCTGACTCAAACTCAGAATGCATTTCACTAAAGAAGTGAATTCTGCTGTTTATGGGAGACAGTTTGAAGCATACTCGTGTGACCATTCTCTCTGACTCTGACCAGACCCGGATCCTGATCTGAACATTTCTGCTGTCACTGAGGCTGTGTATTTAAAAACCGAAAGAATTATAAATGCTATAAATCAGGAACAAAAACAGAGCTTGCTGGAAAAGCTCAGCAACTGCCCCATTTCTGGGGAAGGGTCACCGGACCTGAAACAGTAACTCTGATTTTTCCTTCACAGATGCTGCCAGACCTGCTGAGCTTTTCCAGCAACTTCTGTTTTTGTGGCTGTGTATTTGTTCAGTTCATTGATGCTTCGAAGTTTGAGCAGAGTCCAAGGTTGACTCCCTGTCTCACCCACCTCAATATTTTTCTGATGGAGTTGGTCTTCCTGCAGAAGTTGGCTGGTCATTGTATTCAGCCTTTCACACTCGCCCTGCAGCTGGAGAATGCGGTTCTGCAACTGATTCTGCAGTTCCAGGTCCTGCAAAAGATGAAAGAGATGTAACAGCGTGGGGCAGTATTAAGCAGGTGGTGAGGTAGGGAGGTCTGGGGGAGAATGGAGGCATACACATTAGAGAGGAGACACTGGATGACAATGTGGTACGGAGATGGATATGGGTCTGTCTCCACATTGCCATGTTATCTCTCGGCTTGGTCTGTATTAGTCTTAGTGCAGAGAACAGAATATCTGAGAGAGAAAAATACAGGGAATTGAAGGTTATGAGGAAAAGGCTGGGAAATTGAGGTGAGGATGATCAGATCAGCCATGATCTCATTGAATCAGAGCAGACTCAATGGGCTGAATGGCCATTATCTGATGGATATCCTATATCTAATGGATCCAGAAAGATGGAAGTAAACAAAAATCATGTTAAATAGCTTTGTCAGCACATCATAAAAGTTAATATATTCATCAGCAACGATACAAGCGAGTGGATTACAACGGGGGCAGTGTTATTGGAAAATGGTTAAGGGACAGAAAGCAGAAGATGTTGCTGAACAGTTTGGATTCTCACTAAAGGAAGTATAAAGTGTTGTTCAGTCTTCGGCCGATGGCTATATTACTGACCTGAGCTTCAGTGTTCAGGGCACAATTTCAGTGTTTGCAAAACTTGGGAAACGTACAAAACTAAAGGGTGATAGCGAGAGGAAAATGCCAGGAGCATACAGACCTGGTGGAATCCTTTCCTTTATTCATTCACGGGATGAGTGTGTTGCTGGCCAGGCAGCATTTATTGACCATCCTTAATTGCCCAGAGGGCAGTTAAGAGTCAACTACATTGCTGTGGGTCTGGAGTCACAGGTAGGCCAGACCATAGTAAGGATGGCAGTTTCCTTCCCCAAAGGACATTAGTGAACCAGATGGGTTTTTCCCGACCATTGACAATAGATTCATGGTCATCATTAGATTCTTAATTCCAGATATTTATTGGATTCAAATTCCATCCTCTGCCATGGCAGGATTCAAACCCAGGTCCCCAGAACATTATTTGGGTCTCTGGATTAACAGTCCAGCAATAATACCACTAGGCCATTGCCTTCCCTTTGAGCAGGCAGGTGGGAGATTACACTTAATACTGTGAAATAATCTCTTTTTTAGAAAGAATAAAAAGAAGAATCTTAAAACATATGGAGGAATGGAAAACTGGGAATGTTTGTGCAGAAATCTCTGAAATCAGTAGGAAAATCTGAGAAGGTGATTAAAATCCTTGGTTTTATTCAGAAAGCAAATGTGAGAATGCTGTGCTAAATTTTGTTAAACATGTGATACTGGAGATGGTGTGAATTTTCGCAGAAAGAATGAAGGAGAGATTTGATCAAGATGTTCAAATAATGAATCAGTTTTGGTGGAGCAAACGAAGAGACCGAACTGTAATAGGATTGATCATTAGAGAAGATAACGGGATTTCTGATCTGAATAACATTGCCCATAAGGTGGTGGAAGTGGACTTTTAAAATGAATTGGGAAATACTTGACAGGGAGAAATGTGAAAGATTCTGGGAAATTGGGGTGACTGGGATAAATTGGTCAGCCCTTTCTCGGGGTCAGTACAGGAAAATGTACCGAATGCCCTTTTCCTGTTTGGTGAATCTTTAGCTGAGGATGGGATGTGATGTCCCAACACAGCTCATTATAAACAGATCACACCTTCCACCCGAATTCCAAGACTGTGGCATAGCAACCAATTTTCCTCATTAATGCCCTTTATAGTGTGTAACGTTTCTGCAGGCCCCGCTGCCATGTTGATACCTTCACTAGTAAAATTCCTCATCTCTATTTGTTTCCTGACCTTGACTGAGGGAAAAGTAACAGGCACGGAATTCCGAGGAAGGGTCACTGGACCCAAAACATTAACGCGGATTTCTCCCCACAGATGCTGCTGAGCTTTTCCAGCAACTTCTGTTTTTGTTTGTAAACAATGGAGGTGGCTCTGGCTGAGTGAAGGGTGTAAGTAATAGTCAATGCTGTTTAACACAGTGGCCTTCCCTGTGCTCTATCCCAATACTCTACCTTCACATTGCCTTCGGTTGAGTCTACGAGGCTGTTAACTGTATTCTGCAGTTTCTGGAAACGCTGACACAGATTGCTGGCATCTTGACTGACATCTAAACTGCAGACAGGGCAGGTGACTTCAGTCTCCAGACCCAGGCTCATTCCCAACAGCGCACAGGAAGAGCTCATGATTTTCTCCAGGACTGGCCCTAATTTATCTAACTGATGGGGAAAACAAGACAGAATTATTTCACAGCCACATCCTTCAATCGAACCACAATTACACATAGGACCTGGACCTGACGAGAAGTTTGGAGGATACTCTGCACTGAGACAGAGAGTCTGAACACTCAGATACACTCTGAACCAGAGCAACATTAACACAGGGGTCCACCGGTAACACAGACAGCCAGCCTGTTGGGGTCCAGGCACTTAATTTGTTTGTGAAAATAGATTGCCCTTTCTCCATCTCAGGGATCACTGGATAGCAATCAGGAGCAGGATCCCTCCTGACATCCCCTCTCCATGAAACCAGAACATGTAGAAGAAAGGTAGGCCATTCTGCCCATCAAGTCTGCTTTGCCACTCGATGAGGTCATGGCTCATCTGATTATCCTCAGCTCCACTTTCCTGTTTTTTAAAAACCCAGGTTAAAAATCTGTCCATCTCAGCCTTGAATATACTGATGAGCCAGCCTCAACAGCCCTCTGTGGTAAAGAATTCCACAGATTCACTCCCCTCTGAGAGAAGAAATTCCTCCCCACTTCTGTCTTCAGTGTGCACCCCCCAGCCCCCATTTCTGTGATGTTGCTGTCAGGTCCTAATCTCTCCCACACGGAAAATAACTTTTCTGCATCCACCCTGTCAAATCCACTCCCTCCCCTCACAATGTTGTATGTTTCAGTAAGGTAGCCTCACATTCTTCTAAACTCCAATGGATCCCTGGCTGATTCCCCCCCTCCCTCTCTAACCCAGAGATCACTGGACAGGGAT